TGTTCCAGATAGACCAGCCCTTGGAGTTGATGACAGAGCTCATGCTGGTCTTCTGGAAGACAACACGCGCATACTGGCGCCAAGGTCGGCCAAGATAGTAGGCGCCGTTGGCGACGGCGTTGCCGGCAGCTGCGGCAATGTTGCAGTTGTTGAAGACGTAGTACGACATGTTGGAGTCAGAGTCGCGTCCGTTGGCTGCTTAGAGTTAGTAATTGTGTTTGATACCCGAGAAAGAACAGCATACCAGTGACGTAGCCAACTGAGGCGGCGACAACTCGGAGGTCGATCTTCTCGAACCAAGCGGAGGCAGTCTGGCCGAAGATAAAGTCGGTAGCGCCCTGAATAAGGCACTTGGAGTACAGTTGGTAACCCTGCTGAGCAAGAAGAGTATCTTGGAATCCAGTGAGGGCGACACCGCTACGACCAGTTAGTAACAGTCATAGTAGAGTTACCAGTTGACATACTAGTATCCGCTGTCGGCATAGGCACTCAGGGCAACAGCCTGGCTTCCCTTTCCGTAAGTGTTGGCAACATTGACGTTGTAAAGCTTGAAGTTGGCAGCCTTGACACGGAGGGTAGCTGTGCCATCGTTGTTCAGACCATCAGCCTGGCTCTTGTTCGCTGTGATGGTGACCTTGTTGCCGCTGTATCCGCTAGTGTCGGTAGTGTAACCATAGATAGACAGCTGAGCGCTGCGACTAGGAACAAGGACCTGCTCATTGTAGGTACCCTGGTCGATGAAGATACATTGTTTTCCAGACGCTGTGGTTGAGAGGGAGTTGACAGCAGCTTGAACGGTGCCGAATTGACCGCTTCCAGGGGACTTCTTGACAGTGATACATCCAGATGGCGCAGTTGTTCGACCAGCAGCGAATGCCGCAGTGACGAAACTCAATGTTGTGAGGAACTTCATGGTGATGTAGGTCAGGATAGCCGAAACAAGCCAATGATGAGAAACAGAACCATCAAGAAAGTCGTGTCAACGGTCTCAGTATTTATGTAGCATTTTAAACTTCATCTCCTAGTAAATCATCATATAACTCCAACTCTATACTTCAGACACAGCTCAAGGGACTTTCTTATGATTGGTGGAGAAAGTTTGTTCATTAAAAATACGAGGCCCCTGCTCCAGAAATATCCGGTTTGTCCGGAGCGTAAGCTTCCGCTGTTGGTTTCAGCCGTTTCAAGTCCATTGCCGTGCCCCCAAAGTGACTAACTTGAACCAGTTTAGCAGCCCATTTCGATCGGATTGTGGCCAGATCTAGAATTCTAGATGCAGTTTGAGCTGCTTCGTTTGGTGGATTAATCGGTTGCCATGTTTTCATCCCACAGATGAGAAAATCCGGGGTACACGCGTTTCACGCAGCAGCAGAGCCCTTCATTTCCTCCACTAGCTAGTGGACACTTGCAAATGAAGGCCGACGTCCATGCTCAAAGTCAAAATCAAGTGCCGTTTAATGTTGCATTGAACACAATTTTAAGACCAGGGATCGTAATACGAAACTCAAACAAAAACGTAAGACATACAAAGCAGACACGCTCGCGGGCCGAAGTAAAATGTTGACAGTGAAGTAAGTCAATTGATCTCTGGACACAGAGTCTAAAGTAGACTATGGATACATGTAATCGCCCCCAACAGCCCAGGACCGTCATCCAGAGAATCTCCATCCAGTTCCAGTCGTCGATATTACATACGTGTCTATCGTGCACTATTTTAGGCCGAGTTTGCGGCAACACCCATAAAACCATAAGATCATCAAAAAGATAAGAATGTTAAGCATCCACTGCACAGAAACAGACATCCCACTGAGAAAGTAAGAAGGCAAGGTGCGGGTGCCCCAGAGCAACGGAGTGGGAATAGAAGAACGAAGCGAAGATTATGCGGCTACATAGTCGCTAATCGTTTCTGTGAGAATGTTAGTGGGGGTTGGTTGATGCGGATTGGAGGAGAGTACTAACAGAGGAGAGCAATAGCACCCATGGCAAGGAGAGCCAGGACGGGGCGGACACGCTCACCGCCAGAGACGATGACAACATCATCACCAGAAGGCTTGCCACCCTTCTTGCAAACGGTGGGCTCAACATAGGGAGTGACGTCCCAAGGGTTGAAGCCGAGGCAGGTGGTGTAGGCAGTCTTGCAGGTCTCAATGATGGCGCCGGAAGCGTCGCAGCAGGCCTTGTAGACGGTGTTGCACTCAACAGCGCACTCCTCATCGGAGCCACCAGACTTGCTGGAGCTGTCGGACTTGGAACCAGAGGTCTTGGAAGAGTTATCGGACTTGCTTGAGCCACCGTTGTTGCCGCCCTTGGAGCCGGAGTCCTCGCCGTGCTTGCAAACAGTGGGCTTGACGAAGGGGGTAACGTCCCAGGGGTTGTAGCCAAGGCAGACAACGTACTCCTTCTTGCAGACCTCGATGTCGTGGCCGTCAATGGAGCAGCACTCATCGTATACAGTGGTGCACTGGACACAGCACTCCTCCTCATGGCTGGAGCTGGAGCTGGAGCCGCCGTTGTTGTTGCCCTTGGAACCAGAGTCCTCACCGTGCTTGCAGACAGTAGGCT